TCTCTCCCTGCAGACCATGTCCACATCAACCTCCAAGGAATGACTGTTTCCATGCTGACTCCCTTCTGTCCCTCTAGTCCCTACTCAGCCATCCTCCCTGAAATGTGGCCCACACCTTTCACCATCAGGGAGAGGCCTTCTGAATGTGATATCAGCAGAACGTCACTTATTCTGAGCAGGATGAAGAATTACCTCAGACTCTCTCCTTTGTATCAGTTTCTTGCCTTTGATTTGTGATACTGAGATGTTTGAGAACTAAGGGGTGATCTTCAGCATGGGATTCCTGTTTTGGGGCCCTCCTTGAGAAGAACAGCTTTATTTCAAAGAAGCTGGAATCAGTAATTTTAGAGCTTCTCTCAGGCCACCACCTCAGAGAACTCACTTGTCTAACATGTATGTGAAAGAACTGTTACCATCACTTGTGTTTGTGAACACTCTATAGTTAGTAAAACCACTAATGAAAAGCATGAACTGCCTCTTGGTTGTGCACAATGTATATAAGGAAGGTGTACCTGAGGCCATTTTATCACTAAGATCTGTTACTGAAGAGATTTAACTGTTTCATTATTTTTTTTTTTTCTGTATTTTAGGGAAGGGTTGACAGGGTGTTTAGGATCTTGCTACTAGATCGGACTCGTAGTGATTCTCCTGTTTACAGCCTCCCAAGTGCTGGGATTACAGGCGCACGCCACCATGCCCAGTCTCAATTGCCATCTCAGCATGCCCCAGGGGTGGAGCCAGCACAGCAGGCCCGGGGATCGAACCCCAGGTTCCCGCACCTGCTTGCAGGTGCTTTAATCCACTGAGCTATTTGGCTGGCCCTGTTTTATTATTTTGTGATCTCTGGTAAAGACTAGAAGCACTGTGAGATCGTCTTATTTTTTTCTTTCATACTTTTATTAGTACAAGCATATAGAGCACTATGATATTCATTTTGGGAAGTTGGTATATGTACATAACACATCTTGATTCTTTTTATATTTCCTACCTCTCCTGTACTTTCCACTTTGGGTGCTTTTTTCTTTTTCTTGTCCATTGTTCTGTCCAGATCCTCAAATACTGTGAATATAAACTGTCAGTTTCACTCTGGATTTTTTATACATGGTTTTATTATATTGAGGTGGTTTTCTTCTATTTTTGTGTAATCACGTGCTGTGTATTATTATGAAACTGTTCACTGTTCAATTTTGTTACTTTTTCAATTGAGAGGATCTTTGTTTTTGTTTTTTTTAAACTTCAATTTGTTGCTAATTTGGTATTTTATTTGTTTTTGAGATAGGGTCTACTATGTAGTTCAGGCTGGCCTTGAACTCAGTATGTAGCTTATGCTGGTCTCAAATTTACAGTGATCTTCCTGCCTCAGCCTCCCAAATGCTGGGATTACAGGCTTGCACCACCACACCTGGTTTAATGTGGTATTTTAATCTGGTATTTTGTATTCATTTTCCGATGTTGAAGCACCCTTGTGTTTTGGGAATAAGTATTACTGGTCAGGGCATGCTATCTATTTTTCTCCATTTTGGTACTGGTGATATAACCCAGGGCATTCACAGTGAACTACATTCCAACCTTGTTCTTTAGTTTTTTAAATTTTGAGAAAGGGTCTTGCTAAATTGTTAAGCTCTCAGCCTGGGCTTGAGTTTGTAATCATTCTGCCTCAGCTTCTGAGTGGTAGGCTTACAGGCATGCACTGTCATGTCTGGCATTAGCATTCCTTGAAGAGCAGTTCTTGTGGCAATGCTCGCTTGACTTTTACTTATTCAGGAATACCTTAACTTCCTCAAAATTTGAAGGACAATTTTTGTGAATATAGGATTTTTTTTTTTTTTTTACCACTTTGAACCTGTCAATCCACTGCCTTGTAAACTCTAAGGTTTTTGCAGAGACACACTTGTTGATAAAATTGGTGAGGATCCCTTAATATGCCGAGTTACTTCTCTCTTGCTGCCTTATTATTGTGCTAGAAACCTTGTACATGGTAGGCAATTGCCCTTCCATTGAGCTTATACCTGAAGATTCTCTTTCTGGTGTTGGCCTTTGATATTTTGACAATGAGTTCCTTCATCTACCTGTCACTGATTTTATCTTACTTGCATTTTACTGAGCTTCTTCCATGTTTACACTCATATAATCAGATTTGGAAAGTTAGCCAATATCTCTTAACACTTCATCTCCATCGCTCCAATAATGCATATATTGGTTTATGTAACGTGTCCTAAAGTCTTATAGGTCTTGTTCACTGTACTTTGATCTTTTTCCTTTCTATACCTCAAAGCAGATCACTTCAAGTCATATTTCCAAGCTTATTGATTCTTATGGCTATTCAAATATACTTTTGAATTCTATCTAATTTACTTTACTGTTTTTTTTTGTTTGTTTGTTTGTTTTGATAGGGCCTTGTTGTGTAGTTCAAGCTGGCCTAGAGTTTACTTTGTAGCCCAGGATAGATGTCAACTTGCAATCATTTTCCTGCTTCAGCTTCCCCAGTGCTGGGAGTACAGGTGTGTGCCACTATGCCCTGCTTTATTTACTCTACTTTTCAGTTTCAGAATTTCTTTTCCACATGATTTGTTTACACTGTTTTTCAACTATCTGAGCATCTTTAAGGCAGTGGTTTAATGTTTATTAAGTCCACCATATGGTCTTTCCCAGGGGTGGTTTCTATTGATTTACATTTTCTTCCATTAAAGAGGTTATTCTTCTCTAGTTTATATACATTGTGATTGTTGTTGACAGCTGAATGTCTGAATTTTATGTATGCAGTATCTGTGGAGAATCTTCCTTTCTCAGGATTTGCTCTAGCTTATGTTCTTTTCCTTAATTCCTATTTTTAAAATTATTGTAGGATCTCTGTGCCAAGTATTAGTTGGAGATATAAATGTAGGTCTTCTGGGGTCATTTCTTAGCTTGCATCCTTCCCTGAGCATGTGTACTGGCCTTCTGAACCTCTATAGCAGAGTAGGTACTGAGAAATTTTAGCCTCTATTCCTGGAAGCTAACGGGTAACTCAAGTGGGTAAACCTCTCCCCATTTTATAGATGAGGACATCAAGCCCAGAGGAATGATGATCCCAAAGTATTAACTCCAGATATGGAAAGAATAATATTAAATTTCACTTCTCACCTCCTGAGGTACCTGAGGGAATTGTGCTCTTAAAAACGGTTATGTCTGAGGAATGGAGATGTAGCTCTGTGTCAAGAATTTTCCAGCATGTCCAAGAATTTCCCTAGCATGGAGCCTAAGACAGAGAGAACAGGCTGGGGAAGTGAGGTGATGTTTCAAAGATTGAGCTAGGAGGCTGGGATGTACTGTACAGTACCCAGGACATTTAATGGCAGATAAAAATGCAAAGGAAAGGCAGAGTTAGATTAGGTATGTCTTCTAAAAAAGAAAGAGCCTGGGAGAAGCATAGTGCCTTTACCCTGTACTCTCTAACCGGGGTAGCATGCAGGGGTGGTATTTCAAGGCATCATTGGTATTCATGGGGTGAACCCTCCCAGAACCATGGCTGGGTGTGAAGTGCTGGGGCATATGAGACAAAGCAAGAGGTTTAAACAGCATCTTGGGAGTTTAACAGAAAGCATTTCCAGGCATTGGAAGTGACCGGTCATTTCAGAAAACACAAACCTATAACCTACAGTTCCTATCATTTCACACACAAGTGGACAATGACCTATTCACTGGTTGTGAAATTAGTCTAAAAGAAAAAGCATCTCTTTTAACACAGCACAACACAAAATAAAGTATCAAAATACATTAGCTAATTAGGACTAAATACCGTTTCATGAAACAAAAAGTTGTGTAAAACTGTTGAGGAAATAGGCTTCTGTACCTTTCACACACTCCCACCCCTCACACTCTTCAAGATAATACACTTGGCTCCTCTCTTAGGGTAGCCTCCTAAGTGAAATATTTTCCTATCTAAAACCAAGTCATTTCTTTGATTCTTCATGGCACTGAACATTATCATGTCCTTTTTAAATGTATTTTATTTTGTGTTGGTCAAGGGCTGACTGAATAAATTATAATGCAAGGAAATTGGGTGTGAAGGTGTTTGCCTATAATCCTAGCAATCAAAAGGCTAAACCTCTTGGACCAAGAGTTCATGGCCAGCCTGGATTATGTAATGAGTGTCTTGAAATACACACACACACACACACACACACACACACACACACACACACAGTTCGTTTTCTTTATATGACTCCTGGCAGGAACAAAACTATGATGCTTGGTGATTTCCTAGCAAGACTATTTGAGGATGAGTTATTGTTGATTCACTGGGGAACAAATGACCACTCCTGTATTCACACCAATGCAGACTAGGAAGACTAGAAAGAGAGTACCATCTGTCTACTTTGTGATGACAGGTTATATTCTCAGGGAAATGTACAGTAAAGCTGCACCAAGAAAGTAATAGCCACAACATGTCTGAATACATGTTCATAATGCCACATAAAATCAAGAGGTGCTCTAACCATATATTCAGCTGTCTACTTGGAAGAAGGCAGAGCTGCTTATTTCATAAATAAGGAACTTCAAAGTGACATCTGAATAATACAATTTAATAAAATGCCTGCTTCATGCATCCCTAAGGACAGTGTATTTGGTACACGGTTTGGTTCCACAGGGACTTTACTTATGCCACTAAATAACTATGACAACTGAGACACAGCTTTTAGGTGATTTAACAATTTTATTTCTCATATTGAGCCTTTTACAGAGGAATTTATAAATTAAAAATACCATGCTGCTTGCATTTTCTCTGTTTAGACTCTCCACTTTCCTCTGTTGTCACCTGTCACCTGAAATACATCTGCTTGGGTTCTTCACAGAGACACTTTAGCAACTTGGTGGACAGTTCCAATAAATGACAAAATCCTGATGACAGCAGTTCTCACAGGACTCTACTAATAGTGTTCCCATCTTTGTCTCAAGGACTCAAATCTGAAATGCTTTCCTGAAGACACTATTTTCTAGCTGTTTCATTTTTTCTGGGGGGGGGAGGGGCCCAGGGCACACCACAGTAGTAAGTCTGCCAGTACAGTCTTTTTAGGTTTTTTTTCCTACTGTATAGGCCCTATACAAACATCCATATCTGTATCAACTTGTGAAAATAAATATTTTCCCCAAAAATTACTGTACAGAACATTAACACTTAGAAAGTGTTCCTCTGGATCACCTGGAATGCCTTCAGCTTTAAGTACCAGAAAGTCCTAAGAATAAGTAACAACTATGTTATGTTAATAACATAACAATTATGTTATCCTGCATAATACAAGGGCCCAGAAGCAGGTGGAATTGAACAGCTCAGAGATATGTCAGGACCAGCTTCTCCCAGCTTGTACACTGTCCTCTTCAGGGTAGTGTCCAATGAACTATGAGTCCTATCACATGGAGACTTGAAAATGTCCAGAGAAGAAAGACAATCTGTTCCATGTCTTTCAGGTCTCATATTATTACTTTGTAACTGAAATCTTTCCCAGAAGTATGGCAGAGTATCGGTCCCCAAACAACTCATTGCTCACATGTTCACCCTGAATCTATCCCCAAGTCATCTAGGGAAGATGGATAAACAGATTCAGCAAGCAAACAACATGGGAGCAGTGTCTTAGCAATGTGTTCCCTGAGAACACAGAAACAGCACAAGGGAGGCAGAGATAGAAGACAACACTATCTCCTAAGTACAAGCACAAATCTTCTGGGCTACACAGAACTAGGGTTACAGAGATCATGCCTAAAATGAGCCACAGTTGAGATGTCAAGAATTTGAAAGGGGCATATGATAGCATACCATCTCTTCTCATTTGTAAAGCCCAGAATTACTATTTTGTTTTTATGTATTTGGTACAGGATTTTACTACATACTTTGGACTCATAGTGATCCTCCTATTTTCAGCCTCCCCAGAACTGGATTATAGGCATGTGCTGGCAAGGTATGTGGTGCAGGGGATCAAACCCCCTGGTCCCTGCACTTGCCTAAGCAGGTGCTTAGTCCGCTGAGCCCTCTTGCCAGCTCTAGGATTACTGTTTATAACTGATGTCAACCTTTGCATAATTGTGTAAACACCATTTTTATTAACAATGTTTGTATGACTGACCCAGAGACAACTGAAAAAATTAAAAAAAAAAAAAAGTTTTAACTTCTTCACCAAAGGGCAAGTTTGGTAATACTGGGGCCATATTCAGATATACCAGTGCCAAAAGTAACAGCCAAAAGGTGACATGGTTATTTTTAAAGAAATATTTCACTGGTCAACCTGTACTGGTCAACCTATAGAGAGACTCTGGCAGTATTTAGAATTGTACTGGTTGAGAGGTATTTAAAAACCTCACGAAAACATCTTTTGCCTTTTTTTACTCAAGAGGCAGGTTAGTAATAATGGTCATAGTCATTTACTTGTTTCAGCAAATTTAAAAAAGGGGTATGTGATTTGTACTTCAAACCTGCTAAGTATCATTTCATATATATAAATAGGTATACTTATCAGTTATGTGATAACAATTCTCTAAGAAAACAAAACCCCTGAAATATAGTTTTCCATTTTCTACAGTGTAAATATTCTGATTTAGATAAAGCTATTAGCATGTGATTTTGGGAAGATACATGCAATAGCACATGATCATCGAGTAGTCTCACCAAATAAGTACACTAATACAAGTAACCTGAACCACACAGATAGTGGCAAAATATAGCAAAATTATTAGGAAGTGATAAATATTGAAAATGCAATAAATATTTGAAATGTAAATTTACACAATTTTAAATACTGACCATGTTTAACACATGTCTTACAATATTCCTGAAAACCTAACAATCAGCAGAATTTTTAAGTCAGTATGAGGTAACATGAGGGTATCATGAATGTCTAGGTATGTGTGAACAAATATATTTACATATATTATATACACATTCACATATGTGTACATACACATATATAATCCTAAGGACACACAAAGACACTGGTGGGATTTAGGTGGAAAATATTAATATATACCATAAGTTACTAAATGAAGGGTTCATGGGCTCCAGCACATGAATCAAGATACTCCAAATTTTGTTTGCAAGCCCCATAAGAGGTTTACAAACATTTGGAATTCTTCATATATGTTTAATGTTACTGTTATTCAATTTTTGGAAGCTACTGACGAATATTGTGAACACTGTGAATATGGGTAAAATGAATACTGATATATAAATTTTTGTAAAACATCTGACAGATGACATAAGATAACTTAAAAAGATTTTTCAATAGTACTTAAATGAATAGACTTTACTTCACTACAAATTTTCCAATAAAAATTTACTTTTCTGGAAAGCTTTCACATAGTTGAATGAGATGTAATTTTCTAGTACTTTGTGGTATTCTTTGGCTTTCTCTAATCTCATTTTTAAAACTAGATAGTAAATCTGACAGGTGTTTCAAAATTTCTGAACACTCAGGACGTTGGAAGAGCTTTAACCCTGGTATGAATTCTCTGATGCTTAGTGAGTACTGACCTCTGACTAAAGGTCTTCCCACACGCATTACACTCATAGGGCTTCTCTCCTGTGTGAGTTCTCTGATGTTTAGTAAGAGCTGATTTTTCACAGAAGGTCTTCCCACATTCATTACATTTATAGGGTTTCTCTCCTGTGTGAGTTCTTTGATGTACAATGAGGTTTGACTTCACACAAAAAGATTTACCACACTCATTACATATAAAGGGCTTCTCCCCTGTGTGTGTCCTTTGATGAACAGTCAGGGCTGATCTATGGCAAAAGGATTTCCCACATACACTACACTCATATGGTTTCTCTCCTGTGTGTGTCCTCTGGTGTTCAGTGAGGTTTGACTTTACACAGAATGTTTTTCCACACTGCTTACAGGCATAGGGTTTCTCTCCTGTATGTGTACGCTGATGGTTGGTAAGGTGTGGTTTCTGGCAAAAGGCTTTCCCACATTCAGAGCATTCATACGGCTTCTCTCCTGTGTGTGTTCTCTGATGC